TTATATATATATATATATATATATATATATATATGTACAATTTCAGTCTTAAATTATAAAGAAATTAACATAAATAATTGATTTATAATAATACATTAACTTTGTACTTTTTATAATTTTATATATAAAATAATATGCATTATTTTATATTGCATATTATTTTATATATATGTTATATATTATAATGTTAATACATTTTAGTCATATTTAATTATTTTTCTTATATAAAATTAGAATTTATATTTTTTTATAGTTTAAACTATTGAAATAAATCCGTTTAATTTTAATTTTAATTTAATTTAAACATAATTTAAATATTAATTCAAACATTATAACATTAATTTAAACATATAAGATTCATTTTGTTATTTTTTCTTATTTTAATGTTATTATTTAAGAATATTATCTTTTTTATATATTAATATACAAAATTGCTCTTTTTTCTATCAAGAATATTTATAAATTTGTATATTATAAATTATCTATTTTGCTTGTTAATTATTAAATTAGACACAATTAATTAACAATAATAATGAATAAATATATACATCATTATACAATCTTCTATAAATTATATAAACATTAAGTTAAATCATTTCACATTAACATTATTTTGTTCAAGAATGTTAAAACATTAAAGACACATGTAGACGAATATTAATATACCATTAAGTATTCCAATCAATAATTCATTTGTATCCCTGATGTCTTTGCAAATCTGAAAGAAAAACAAAATATATAAAAAATAAGAAAAGAATAAAATTTCAGGAAAAAAGAATAAAAAATTCACATATATAAATTCACATAATTAATTGTTATAGTGTTATTTAATAATTTGATAATAATTTGATAAATTTTTTCAACTTACTTTTGCTTAGAAGGACTAAAAGGAGTAGGTGGATTGATTCCAGGAATACTGCTATCTTTGTAAATTATAAACCAAGTAAAACCCATCATAATAAGACCACATATTGCTGCTCTTATTAGCCATCCATATGATTTAAAAAATAATGTCATTACATTTACAACATCATCGTATTGACTATTATTAACAAATTTTTCATTTATAACTGTTAATTGTTTTATATTGAATTCTGATACATCAGGTACATATAATAAGTCAAATACATTGGATATATTTGAAAATATAGATGCTGTTGATGCTACATATTTAATACTATTTTGTGGCTCTAAAATACTACCTAAGAGATGATATATAAATATCAATACTCACAATACTATATAAAATATCTAACATGCAAGGCAGCAATAAAATTTTTTTTTATAATTTTAAGTTTTATTAAAAATTTTATATATACAAAATGTTTATTGTTATATATAGATATAATTTAAAAAACATAATCTATTATAAAAATAAGAAAATTAAATTAAATTCACAAATTTATTTTAATGATACTCTATTGCATAAATATAATATTCCATTAAAGCATAAATTATTATTTTAAGCTTGTCAATACGAAGATATTGAAAAAATTATTACAAACAATACATTCCTTATGCTTAATCAAATGTATAAGATATGTATGTACAGAGTATAAACACATGCAATGCTATTAACAAACACGCTAAATTTACAAAACAAAGATTTGAATAAAGTATTATTTTCTTCTCAATATCACTTACCATAATTTATATATAATTTTCCCAAAACGATAGATAATGATATTATAAAGAGTAAACAAATAAAATTCCATTCATTCATTTGTAATCTTTCCCATAACCTCATTGGTACAATGCAATTTTTGTTTGTTAGTAAGTCATCAGTTTTATTAAACGAAAATTAAATTTCTTCTCGCCCATTTTAATTTACAATCAATGAATACATATATGTCTGCATTGAATAATCACAAGATTATGAATAACAAATGATATTACCAAAATGTATTACCAAAAATAACAGTGAATAATAATAATACATAAATAGATGTACGATTCATACACACGTGACACATACAAAATTTTTACGCATGCGTTTGGAAAACGTTTATTCAGGACTGTATCATTATTAATTTTTAAAAATTCGAGTTAAAATTTTTTAAATATTAATTTAATTTTAATAAAAAATATATACAAATTCTAGAAAAAATTTAAAAATATATTATTCTAGCAAATAAAATAATAAAAAATAAAGTCAATGTTAAATATTGAAAATTTTTCCTGTCCTAATTTATATATTCATTAAAATAATTTATTTTTTCTATAATTTCATTAATAATATCATATGATTATATATAATTATAATATAATATATTTAATATATTATATTATAAAAACAAATGATAATGTTTTGTAACGCTACTGTAATTATAAGATTATGGAGGGGTGAATAATAGATTGGAGATTCCAGTTAACCGCATTCGTCATTCGTTTAGCGGCGAAGATTGGTCTGTGTAAGGGAGCTGGACTCCATAAGAAACGAATTGTGTATATTTATATAAAATTATAAACGTGTATATATGTATTATTAAAAAAAATGGCAATGCAAGAGGAAATCGGTATTGGAGATTTGGTTCTTTTGGATGAAATCACATTAGAAAAGATTGTGGATAATTTACGAGTTAGGTAAGATTATATTTTGACTAATGGTGAATAAGGCGGTAAATTAGGAAATTGGCGGGAAATTTAGGAATATAAGTTATTTGTTTCTTAAGGAACATGACAGGTGTCCTTTTTTGTATTCCGATGATCTTACTAAAATACTTCATAGATCATCCACCAAGAGGGCGTGGCTAACCGTATATTAGCAGGTGGTTATAATTCGGCTTCATAATTTGGATTTGAACTCGATCTACAAAATCGATGATAATAAACTATATCAAAATTTTATATTAGAATTGCTTTTAACCAATAGTATGTTTTTATATTTTATATATAATATCAACATCAATAATTATGAATTTATATATTTTCTATGTTTTTGTATTTATGTAAAATCTATAATTATATATTCAACACTATAATTATAAATATTTAACTTTCATGTTTTTTTATAAAAAAAATTAGCATATGTTCAAGAGTGATATATTTAATTTTATAATAAGAAATGTTTAAATCTTATCTCGTTTTGTATTCTATGAGTCATCGGTTTGTAACTTAAACTTTACATTAACTCAACTAATATATTTAACAATCAAAATGTTTTGGCCTTCTTTTATTTTATATATATATATATAAAACGTAATTAATTATATTATATTTAAAAATGAATTATTTATTTTATTCAAATATATACATATTAAAATACAAATTATTTAAGAAAAATGAATAAATTTAAGCGCGTGATTGATAAATAATTTAGCAGAAATAAATAATTCTAATATGTTATTCAATTATATATTATTATTATTTTACAGATAATAAAATAAAGTACATATATATATACATATATATATTTATTTGTAATATAACTAACTATTATAACATTTGATAATAAGTAATAGTCACAGTAAATGATAAGGAGATAATTGATGAAAAGATAATCTTTATCTCTTAAAAAAAAATTAGTATTGTAAATATATGTGTATAGTATTGTAAATAAATTTTTCTTGAGTTAAGTTTCAATAATATAATATTCTATGTACATTGAATTTTTATTATCAATTTAATTTTTATTTAAATTGATTGATTGATTGATTCTTTTATTATTTATATTATTTATTTCATTTATTATATATTTATTTCATTTATTATATATATATAATTTTAGATATAATGGTGGTAAAATTTATACATACATTGGTGAGGTATGTGTCAGTATAAATCCATATAGGAATATAAATATATATGATAATGAACATATTAATAAATATAAAGGTAAAACTATATTGTAAATATTTATTATTTAAATAATATATTAAAAAATTAACAAATATTGTATATGAATATAAAATTATTGTATTTGATAATTATATTTTAGACAGAGAATTATTTGAAAATCCACCACATATTTTTGCAATTGCTGATGCAGTGCATAAAGAAATGAAACAACAACGACGTGATACTTGTATAGTAATAAGTGGAGAATCAGGTTCAGGTAAAACAGAAGCAAGTAAAATTATTATGAAATATATTGCTGCAGTTACAAATTTAAGTGGTCAACAAGAAATAGAAAGGTACATAAATTATTCATAAGAAATGTATTTTATTATTTAAAATTTTTTAAAAATTAATTTAGTTTTTAAGTATAATAAAACAATTATCTTTATTTTATTTATTTTTATAATTTTTTATTTTAATTATTTATTATAATTATTTATTTTAAAATTATTTTTTTATTTTTATATTTCAGAGTAAAAAATATTCTTATACAATCCAATTCAATATTAGAAGCTTTTGGAAATGCAAAAACAAATAGAAATGATAATTCATCTCGATTTGGAAAATATATGGATATAGATTTTAATTTCAAAGGGGATCCAATTGGTGGTCATGTTACTAATTATTTATTAGAAAAATCAAGAGTTGTATATCAACAAAATGGTGAAAGAAATTTTCATTGTTTTTATCAGGTATTTGCAATAATTTAATTTTTATTATTTTTATTTTTCACTATATATATGAAATATTTTATTTAAAATTTTAGTTAATAAATGGATGTAATGAAGGAGAATTAAATAAATTACGTTTGGTACGAGATCCAGCTGCATATTTCTATGTTGGTGCAGGAAATTGTAATAAAGCAAGTCCAACTGATAAGAGTGATTATAAAACTGTTACCTCTGCTATGTCTATTCTTGGATTTACTCAAAATGAAATGCAAACAATTTGGAATATCATTGCTGGAATATTACATTTGGTTTGTTGTAATTAAAATAAAAAAAATTAAAAAGTTATTAGATTATTCTTAATTTGACATTTGATTTATAGGGTAATATTACTTTTAAATTTATTGAGGATAAACTCTTTATTGAAAATAGAGCTGCTTTGAATGATACAGCAAATTTATTTTCTATCAGTACACAAGAATTAAGTACAGCTCTTACGCAAAGAGTTATTGCAGCTGGTGGAGAAGTTATGCAAAAAACTCATACTTCAACAGAGGCAGAATATGGTCGAGATGCTTTAGCAAAGGTAATGTTTTTTTTTTTATAATTTTTTATTATATATGTATATATATATATATGTAAAAAATAAGTGGATATTATTTAAAATTTGAAAAATAAATTATATTTCAGGCTATATATGAAAGACTATTTACTGAAATTGTATCTCGCGTCAATAGTGCAATTAATGTAAATGATACAGAAATTTATAAAAGATACAGAACTGTAATTGGAGTACTTGATATATATGGTTTTGAAATTTTCGATGTAAATAGTTTTGAACAATTCTGTATTAATTATTGTAATGAAAAACTACAACAATTGTTCATTGGTAAGAAAATCTTATATAAAATTATTGTATTATAATAAAATTAATATTTATAATATTTCAGAATTAGTATTAAAACAACAACAGGAGGAATATGAAAGAGAAGGTATTGCATGGCAAAATATTGATTATTTCAATAATCAAATAATTTGTGAATTAGTAGAACAACCTCATAAAGGAATTATAGCAATTATGGATGAAGCTTGTCTTAATGTTGGCAAAGTTACAGATGAAGTTAGTTTTCTTAATTACTTTAATTTATTATAATATATTAATTTATTATATTATTTTATATATATTTATAATTTATATTTATTACATTTTTATTATAAAATTAAATTAATTAATATTTTATTAAAATTTTATATAATAATTTTTTTTAGATGCTTTTGGAAGCTATGGATCAAAAATTATTGGATCATAAACATTATACTTCTCGGCAATTAAAACCAATGGACAAAGAACTCCAACATAAAGTTCAATTTAAGATTAAACATTATGCTGGAGATGTAATATATAATATTAGTGGTTTTTTAGATAAAAATAAAGATACATTGTTTCAAGATTTTAAACGTTTACTTTATAAAAGTAGTAATCCAATAATTAGCAAAATGTGGCCTGAAGGTGCTCAAAATATTTTAAAAGTATGTAAATATATATTTTATAATTGCTATAAAAGTATTTTTATTATTATACTATTTTATTTTAGACAACAAAAAGACCTTTAACAGCTGGAACTCTTTTTCGTAATTCTATGACAGCACTAGTTAAAAATTTAACAAGCAAAGAGCCATTTTATGTTAGATGTATAAAACCTAATGAAGTTAAATCACCGGTTGTATTTGACGAAGAAAGAGTCAATCATCAAGTACGATATTTAGGTCTTCCTGAAAATGTATTAGTTAGAAGAGCAGGTTTCGTGTACCGTCGACGATATGATACATTTTTAAAACGGTATTTATATTCATATAAATAATATGATTAATCATATATTTATATATCGTTATATTACAGAGATTCAATTATATTATTAAAATTTTTTTTTTACTAGATATAAAATGATATCACAATATACTTGGCCAAATTTTAAAGGTGGTAATGATGAAGATGGTGTGCGTATGTTAATGGCTGAAAAAGGATTCAGTAATGATGTAGAATATGGACATACTAAAATATTTATTCGTTCACCTAAAACACTTTTTGAATTAGAAAAAGTTCGTTATTTAATTTTTATCTAATTTAATTTATTTAAAATTTTTACTTATTGAGACAATTGTCAAACTATGTTTATTTTTAGGCGCGTAGCGATTTAATTCCAGGCATCGTAATATTATTACAAAAACAATGGAGAGGATATTTATGTCGTCAAAAATACAAAAAGATGAAAGCTGCCCTTGTTATAATGAAACATTATCGAAAATATAAAATATATGCTTATATCAAGGAATTAGAAAAGATATTCCGAAATGCAAAAACAATGCGAGATTATGGTAAACATTTAATTTGGCCTCATGAAAACTTTGCTGTAAGACATATAATATCTGTTTTAAAAATAATGTATGAAAGATGGTGGGCATGGATGATTCTT